CAGCTGATTAGGCTTATATGGGTAAATATATGGTTTTTTAAAGGTATCAACAAAAACTGATTTATAGGAATCTAAAGAAGTTCATTAAAAAATTAATAATTCATTTTCTTAATGTTTGTATTATATATATACATACATATATATATACACACACTACCCAGGCAAAAGTTTGTGAATGATGTTTTTGTTAATTACACAAAATGCTACATAATAACAACACATAAAATTTTAATATTATACAACCTATGTTCTTGTTCATTTTCATATAAAATTTGATGTATTTTATATTTCTAGTACTTTATTAATTAAAAAAAAAATGAAAATTTATTAAATTTTAAAATGTTTACAGTTTCTCAAAAATTTCTCATAATAAAAATATTTAAAATTATATCATATAAAAGCTATAATTTTGGTGAATAAATTATATGATTCTAAATGCTTTAATGCATCTAAATTTTATTTCTTTGTTATTTTTTTTCTAAATCATGATTTGCAAAAAAATTCAATTTTAATTTTTTGATGATCTTTCAAAAAAAGTATTTCGTTTTTTTTTTAATTAATAAAGTGCTAGAAATATAAAATACATCAAATTTTATACAAAAACGAACAAGAACATAGGCCATATAATGTTAAAATTTTATGTGTTGTTATTATGTAGCATTTTGCGTAATTAACAAAAAACATCATTCACAAACTTTTGTCTGGGTAGTGTGTGTATATATATATATATTTGAACTTATCAATTACAAATGCCTGATTAATAATTGATTCTGCATTTTGATTTACATTAATATTAGCATGTAACCTGCTGTGAAAATTTTCAACATAATATTCATTGAAATTAACAAGATGATTCTCCAATACATTTGCAAAAGGATTTTGATTTTCTTCCCAGTATATGTAATCTGAAATAAATGCCAGTATAATCTTATTATATTTTTTTCTTTTCCATCTAAGAGCAAAGTCCAGATTCTAAATATTTTCTGTATATATAATAAAGATTGTGTAGGTCGTGTAACGTGATAATTTCGAATGTCGATCAAAAACAAAAATTCCACTATGCTGGCATCTCACCCAATGAGATGAGTCTTTTTTAATCCAAAACATAAAATGATTTAAAGCTAAAGCACTAGAAAATTTCTAATACTATTATGACAATCCATATGCATTATTTCAGCAAATAAGTATAATTTTATATCCAGCAAAATAACTTTCGGGCTCTTGTAACAGTTTGCTATACACAAAGAAAAGAAAATTAAATCACTTTATAATAGGATTAACAATAAAATTTGGTAACTTACTGTCTAATTAACAAAATCTTAAAGGATAGTCAAAAAGTGCATAATTGATTGTGCTATTATTAGCTGATAACTTGTTTATTTTATAGACTGAAAGGCAAAAAATACACGATCCCCATTTGATAGCGAGTCCTTTAGCAAAAAGAAACCATAAAAATATGATTAACAGATACAAAAAAAAAAAAAAACATGAATGAAATTTCCATACCATAGAGGAAATCCATATTGACAATGGAAAATTGCTAAATTATTCCTAAACAAGAACAAAGTGTTCAGACCCCTAAAGTTTACACCACCACATCCTACAATGTAGACGATAAGAGCGTATTGTGTTTGTCCGAGAACACCGTTACGACAATTTAACACAGCAGTATCATTGAACCCATTATTATCCAATTGAATGAACAGGGCGGGTTCATCAATATCAATTTGCTTTGTTGCTCGAAGAATCAATTTGGCTACATTTGTCAAATAATTAATTACAAAATTGTTGCCTATTTCTTGTATCCAGAAGCTTTGGCGAATCTGTAAGCACACTTTATCGTACGAATTACAATAAATAAAGATGGCCTTTCTACAAAGCAACAAGTGCTCTACCGAGTTCCTTTTTTATTTACTTTACTTTACTTTTACTTTTCTTGGGCCGATTGAAGTCACCCGTACATTTACAACAATTACTTTAACACAATAATCAATATGTGGTGATGGTTTTGGTTAACAACCATTAGCTCTTTGTATAGGTGGTCAATCAGCAATAACTGTTGTCACTTAATACTTTTGCCAATAAATCTTTGCTTTACCAAAGCAAATAACCAAACCCATTGCTTTCTGCCAAAGCAAATAAGCAAAACCTTGGAGTCCTATAATCTACTCTCAAGCAAGCTCTGAATTATTAATATAGAATTACCTAACCACTCAGTCGATTAATTCCACTTGGTAATTATTTATAATAATTTTCTCAATCTTGTTTTAACGTTTGTGCAAAACCATTTAAACAATTGTGATTGAAATTCCCAAATTAATTATTTTCGTTAAATCAGGTCATTACTTTGGTGCTGAATTATCCGACCTTTTTGAAGAACATTTTTTCTTCCCCCCTTCTCTCCTAATTTTTCAACACATGCTTTACAAAAGGTTTTTGAGTTGCGTTGGTTTAATTTAATATTGGTTCTAATAATATGTTAAATTAATAAAGATGGCAAAGGTGCTTTCTCACGTTAACTTGTGGCTTGCGCAACTAGTTTCGGACATTTAAGTAAATGAGCGGGTATCGTCCGCATGACAAATTGTTACGCGGACGTTTTTGGACAATATATGTCAGCGCCCTAACTACGCAAAAATATACGTAATGAATGACTTCACAAAAAATTATGTTGGTTTTGGCGAATGTGTGTTGCGAAGTAGATATGCTGGAAGGATTTGTTTCTAAATACATACTTGGTCTATAATTTTTATACCATGATAGCGAAGGTCCATTTCTTACCAAAATTAAAATGGAAACCATTCATGATTGAATTTTATCCATAATGCCATGTTTAGATACAGCTGGTCAGTTATTTATGGATCTGAATTATTTTATTTATCGTTGCATATTCATTAATAGATGTATTAGTATATACCACAAAAATTTGTACGTTATTCGTATAAAATCTTTCCATAAATAGAATGATATTAAGGATTTCTTTAGATGGACTTGATGCATCATAATATAAGAAATAAACTCATTATATAAAAATATATTTATTAATTAATTAATTTATCAATCAATTATTTAAAAATACACCAAAAATAAAACAAACGGAAATGCATAGTAATTATTATAATCCTCTGTCTTTAGCTGTACAGAGAAACTTAAAAGAAATTTAAAAGAATTTAAAATAAATATATAGATGCATGCACACGTAATTATTCTTGCATAATATTATGTGAAGCCTAATTATTATGATAAAGATTGAAAGTTAATATCATATTTTTTTCTAATAGAGAAAAAGAAAAAAATAATAATAAATAAATTCTTACCAGCTCTTTTTTTTTTCTTTTTTTCCTTTGGTTTTAGAATTTATTTTTTATTGGTATTTCAATATATATGTATAACCACCATCTTAGTTTAATGATAACTCTGATTATAATTGTATAAACCTGTATTTTCTTGAATATTTTGATAGTTTGTTTTGTTATCACCTATAGGAGGAGCAGGGGAAGGGGAAGGGGAAGGAGAAGGAGGATAGCCGTAGTAATAAATGTTTGGATTATTATAATAGTATACCATCCCATTATTTTCTGAGGGAAATTGGGATTGAAGTAGGGGTTGAGGTAGAGGTTGAGGAAGGGGCTGAGGTAAGGGCTGAGTGATTGGTATACTTTTAATACTATTGTCTGCCAAACCTATTGGTGTGAATGGTACATTATTTATTGGATAATATGGTAACATTACTTTGTTGAGCTGAGGTGGAATATAATTGCTATTGACGACATTTAGATTATTTTCATCAGGTGAATGTATCTTTTCTTCGTTCACTATCGCCGATTTTGGTTTAAAAGGTCTTGCGAATACAGCTATTAAACATACATTCATAAACAAATGAATTGGTAAATAGGTTGGATTATTATTGAATAATATATTTATATGGATATTGATTAATTGACTGAAACAAACCTGTATGTGGAAGTTCACTCAATTTATGTTGAGGTTCATTGGTGTTATTTTCGGTTGGAGATTTTGGAGAATCTGGTTTATCTTCTGAATTGGTGTTAGTTTGAGGTAATGTGGTAACAACCCTTCTTGAAGAATATCTTTTGGATGAAGATGCTGTTGAGGTAGTAGATGGTTCAACTGGTTGGGTACTTGCGTTATTTTTTGATTCGATAGATTTCATATTCGTATTTTTCATTTCTTTTTGCTCAACATTATCAATTTCCTTTTCTTGATGGATACATAGTTTAATGATAACTCTGATTATAATTGTATAAACCTGTATTTTCTTGAATATTTTGATAGTTTGTTTTGTTATCACCTATAGGAGGAGCAGGGGAAGGGGAAGGGGAAGGAGAAGGAGGATAGCCGTAGTAATAAATGTTTGGATTATTATAATAGTATACCATCCCATTATTTTCTGAGGGAAATTGGGATTGAAGTAGGGGTTGAGGTAGAGGTTGAGGAAGGGGCTGAGGTAAGGGCTGAGTGATTGGTATACTTTTAATACTATTGTCTGCCAAACCTATTGGTGTGAATGGTACATTATTTATTGGATAATATGGTAACATTACTTTGTTGAGCTGAGGTGGAATATAATTGCTATTGACGACATTTAGATTATTTTCATCAGGTGAATGTATCTTTTCTTCGTTCACTATCGCCGATTTTGGTTTAAAAGGTCTTGCGAATACAGCTATTAAACATACATTCATAAACAAATGAATTGGTAAATAGGTTGGATTATTATTGAATAATATATTTATATGGATATTGATTAATTGACTGAAACAAACCTGTATGTGGAAGTTCACTCAATTTATGTTGAGGTTCATTGGTGTTATTTTCGGTTGGAGATTTTGGAGAATCTGGTTTATCTTCTGAATTGGTGTTAGTTTGAGGTAATGTGGTAACAACCCTTCTTGAAGAATATCTTTTGGATGAAGATGCTGTTGAGGTAGTAGATGGTTCAACTGGTTGGGTACTTGCGTTATTTTTTGATTCGATAGATTTCATATTCGTATTTTTCATTTCTTTTTGCTCAACATTATCAATTTCCTTTTCTTGATGGATACATGTAGTTATTTCTGGAGCATCTTCTTCATTGGATGCAATTTCCAATTCATTTATAGCCTTGGTGACATTTTCTATGTCGTTTTCAACTGATGGTGATGATGATGGTAATGAAATGCCATTATTCTCAATTTTTACGTCTTTCTTCTCAACCGCTTCGTCCTTTAAAGGTGAAATATCATTTTGTAAAGGTTCTTTTTTCTTAACTACATCTAGTTTAAGTGATGATGATGATGATGATGATGTGCCATGAGCTCTTTTGTAATTATGAGTTTTATTAAAATTCCTAGTATCGTTATTATAACCATCATCGTTAAAATCTTCATCGTATGAGGCGCTTTTATTTTTATGATTATAATTATTTCCATTAGCATGACGATAGTTATTATTATGACGGTGATTATTATCGTAACGGTGATAGTAGTTATTATCGTGACGGTAGTTATTACTATAATTGTGATGATTATCGTGACGGTAGTTATTATCATAATAGTAATTGTCATCGTAATAGTAGTTATTATTGTGATGGTAGTTATCATCGTAATGGTAGTTATTATTGTGATGCCGACTATTATTGTGATATTGGTTACTGCTGTTGGGACGGTGGTTGTTAGTGTTATGGTGGCTATTATTATTACGATATGAAGATGATGATTGTGGTTGTGGTTGTGGCTTTGGCGGTGGGGGCATTCGCGAATTTATATTACGCGTGTGTTGTGAAAATTCTAATCTTCTATTGTTATAATAATAATCATCATTATAGTTGCTGTTATTGTTATGTGGTTGATATTTGTTCGGTTGACGATAATCATTGCGTCTGTTCTCTTCATAGGTTGGACGATTCCTATTCTTTCTATCTATTGAATTACTTCGTTTAGGAGCAACAGGAGCCTGGTATCTTGAATGGTTATTTTGTGAATAGTTGCTTTCTCTACTCCAATGACGATTTGCCTGTATTTATATTACCATGCATGAGATTAATAAAAAAAATTTCAATCAATCAATAAAATTTCTCTAAATATGAAAAATAAAATTATATTTACTGGTGAGAAACCATCTCTACTTCTCCTTTGAAAATTATTTCTTCTTTTATCATCTTCTTCTTCCATACGTATCAATTCTTCATATCCATCATGTCCCCATTGATTTTCTGTTGGGGGATTTTTGAACCCTCCTTTATTTCTATTTATTATTTACAACAACAACAAACAACAAAATTAATTAATATAATGTGATTATCCCTTGAATAATGCGTTTACTATTTCTCAACGATTATATAGAAAATTAGCAAATTACCTTGATGGGAATTTTCTAAATTTGTTATTATTATCTTGAAGATTTTCAGCTTCTTCCTTGACAAATCGGTCATCATGACCCCAAAAGTATCCAAATTTAGGAACGTATGATGGGTCCTCTGCAAGTTTTTTCCTATAATCTTGCCTTGTTTGTGTGGTTTTTGTCGATTGATTATGATTATTATCATGTTCAGATTCGTCATCAACTATGTTTGAATCGGTTTTGTGAATTTCATCGGTATCTAGGCAATTGTTTTGAAGGTTTGAATTGGAATTTTTTCTGTTTTTTGTTAAAATGGTTTTGTTTGACGCCTCCTCATTATGACCATTATTGTTACTGCCGACAGGATTACTTGAATGTTTCAAGTTTAAACTGTTCTTGTCCTCGTTCTCAAAATCACTTTGTGAATTTTCACTGTTGATATCTGAGTCTTCATCACTGCTGCTATTGGCTTCAAAACCAGAATGGTACT